TTTCAGACCAAAGTGGATTGAGGTGAAGTGAGGTCTCTCCCCTCAGCCCATATACTGTGGACAATTGCATAATAAGTGTTACTTTTCTGTAAAATATCTCATATGGAGATACAAAGTGAGCAGACACTATAGATATGAACCAGGTATTTCAGTGACAATTCTCCCATGAAATCACCATCTGAGTTGCCAGCAGCACTAAAGGCAATAAAATCACTATAGGCATTGCAAATGAAGCAGCTGATCTATAACACAAGCAAGCATTATTCTTTGTTAGTAGCAACTGCAAAGAAAAGGAGTTCAAGACTAGGAAACTAATTTCTCCAGCTGCAGATATACCCAGCAAGACCAGAAAGGCCTCAACCAGAGCTGATAATAGCTCCCTTCTTCTTGATATTCCTTAGAAATTAAATGGCCAACGGTTGGTTAGAGGAAAAAATAAGTCCCCTATATTGTACTTTATTTCCTATATTATTACACTAAAGACTGTCTCATAAGCAAGGAATTTTTACATTAAAAGAATTAGCCCAATTTTATCAAGAGAATACGGAGAATTATATTTCTTAGTTTGCCATCATAAGCAAAATCTGTTCCCTTTCTTTCCTTCTTGTTACCAGGTTAAAGGAACCACTAACACAGCACCTGCCTTACAAAAGAACACCTTGATTTTGAGAAGAATGTGTGGATGATCCTATCCAGAAAGAGCTTAGAGAAAGACATTGTGAACAGAATAAATCCTTAAGGTGATCCAATTGTTTCTCTCCGTAAGTTCAGGTTTTGGGTTTCTGTAGATTCCATTTTTTGATTGCCTGTATCACAACCAAGAACTTCAAGAGCTTCAGCTGGCACCAGGAAGCTCCAGCAGATGGTATGATTGCCTGACACAAATATTCCCAACGTGGATAAAGTTTTTTTAATCTTAATTTCAAGCAAGAAGAACATGATTGAATTTTAATAAAGAGGGCAAGTACGGCACTGTTGAGTTCACAAAAATTTTCTGCACCAACACTGAGACCCAGATGTTCCCAGAAATACAAAAAAAAAAAAACAATAAATAGTCAGGAAGAAAAGTTATATAATTTACCAGAGGGGCAAATGACATTAGCAGCGCAAGGATACCGGAATGTAAAGTTACAGTGCAGTACATATGTCTTCAGTGAGAGACTGCCCATTCCAATTTTTCTCCGCTCCCATTTATGTTCCAAAGGTTCAGTACAGCTTTGGTATCTTTTTTAATATAATAAAATAAAGGGAGGTTGTAGTGGGGTTTTTTTGCAGGCTTAAGTATAAAATTGATGTAATATGGCTGAGCTTGCACATATCCTCAGTTCCTTCTGCAGGAAAGCACAGTTGCACCCAGTTGCTAAGGCAAGAGAGGAGTTGTTAACATTTCTTACCCAGAAAAGCAGCCATCAGCAAACTAGCAGTCCTATCTATCTCTGCTTTAAGTCTCCATGTCTGTCAAACAGTTTCTCCAACTTGCTGTCTCTAAAATCACTTGCTACATACTTTAAGCAAGTTTGAGTTCTCACTGTGGTCTAATGTTGCCTGCTCTGTTTCAGTCCAGGTGGTCTTTTCAAGTCTTTTATCACAAACACCACAGCACACAGATCTTTGCTGGGGCCTGAGCTTTTGGACTTATTTTATAGCTTAAAGTCATGCGCAGCCCACACATGCAGGCTCTGTTGCCAAGGGCCTGCCTAGCCCCATTATCCCAGTCTGTGGAGATCAACAGGCACTCATGAAAACCAGACCTCTAATTTTCTTTCACTACAAAGTGTATGACCAAGGTCTGGTCTACTCTATGAACACAAGGTGTTCAAGGAAGCCGACAGAAATTGCTCTATGAATGTATATGGTGTGTCTTCTACAAGTCCTACAGGAATTATATCACCCCCAGCCTTCAGCTTAAGTCTGTGTATTTTTTTGCTGAAAGGAGATTTTTAACTTGACTGGATTCAGCTACGAAATACATGGCCTTGCTAAAAAGGTACCTTAGCTCATTTATATTGACCATTATATGGAGCAAATCATGACTCTGGACATGGATCTAGATAGACTGGACAACCTTCCAATTCTGCAAAGGCACTTAGGACTCCTGCATTTATCTATTCACATTGAGAGAGTTTCTATGTACTTTTTACCTTCTTTGGAATAAACGACAGCTTAAAAATAAAGAAAAAAAAAAAGCTGTGCATTTTACTTATGTGGCTGAATAGTTTCCACCTTGTCATCTTGGATCTTAGTGTTTGGAACTAAAAATATACGTCTAGTTAGTTTGCCAGACCAACTAGTGTTAATAGCAGTAGTCAGCCATGCTAAATCCTGCTCGTATGGGAAGACCCAGCATGTAGCTGGTGCTGCTCACTGAAGCAGCAAACAGGAGGTTCTGACTTGCAGGACTGTGCCACATCTGTGAAGGGGAATTTCCCATCTAAGTAAAATGGGGAATTAATGGGGAATTATCCCATATAGAGTAGCTAGGAAGAGCTATAAGAAGTCAGATGTATCCATTTTCAACAGATGGGTTTTCATACTCACTGGTAGAAATCATAAGGGGAGCACTATGATAATACTCAGTATCCTTTGTAAGAACTCCTTTTCTTACCACCACCCACACCCTTCTCCCCATTAGCTTCCAGCATGCTGTGCATTGTCTTGCCATTTCAAAGTCTATTAACAAAGTGCCCAGTATTTTGTATTTCTTCTTTTAAACCCGGAGAAACTTCCCTGCAACTTGCCTGCCAAGAAGTAACACAGCAGCAAAGCAGGGTTTTACCCCCAAGGTTTGAAACACTTTTCCTTGATTTTTTGAATAGTCAGGAGCAGCTCTGCTGCTACTATACAGGCCATGAATTGCTTCCCCAGGCCTGGGCCTCAGTGTTGTCAGGCCTGGGGTCAAAAGTGATTGAGGTGAGTTGACACTGATTTTATTTCTGTGGTAATAATGGAGTGGCAATTTAATATCTAATCATTTACAAATTTGTTTTACAAACATTAACAGCTTGCAATTAGCAATGGTTTAAACTAATAGACAAGATGGGCCATTATTGCCCTTTCAGGGAGGCAGCAGAAATTAAGGGAGAAGGTAAATTTAAGCGACCTACATAAAAGCAGAGCAGCAGCTAAACCCAGACCCAACTTGAAAAGTCCATGTTGCCTTCATCTAAAAATCAACAAATACACAAGTAGGATCACATACAATCACATGGAGTCACCAGTGTGATTTGGGGAGTAGCAGAGCCAAGTTCTTACGAACTCATACCCCATTTAACAAGACAGTGGCTGTATTACCACATGAATACAGTCAGCCCTGTTACAGGTAGACACATGCTGTTGCAGACCCAGGGAACTTGGGTACTGTACTGTATTCCCCATGCTTCCATTCAAGAATTACTACAAAGCCAAACTGAATGTTTCTTTACCTACAGTGTCAGCATGTCACAGAGTCATGCTTCTCCATGACCTCTCATTAGCCAGAGGAGAAAACTGAAATGTAATGGTTTCAAAAGTTTTCTACCTTACGTATGATTTTCTGCATAGTAGTCACTGTAACATGCACCTATTTACGGTTTCTGCTTTATCACTCCTGGCAGGGAGAAAATTCTCAGCTTACAGACCAAAACCACAAGAAGGTAGTTCTCAACAGTCCTCACTTCTCCCATCTTAGACACAGGATCTTCCTTACCATTAATTACCTTTGTTAATTAAGTTTTCTGCGATTTGCTGCTCCTTACCCTCTTCCTCTACCTCCCCCCTCAACAGTGAGCAGAAATGGAAGGATGAAAGTTGTTTCCTAAACCTCTCTCTCCAAGAACATAAATTCACATCCATTAAAATTAAGCAAATACACTAACATTAAAATGGAACCAATTGCTTAAGGAAGCAAGCACTGTTGAATGCCCAAAGCCTCCAGTAGCTTAATTCCCCATAGAAAACACTCCACATCTCAAAAATTAAATTTTATAATAAATATTATAAAAATATTTTAAATAATAAAATATTATAATATAATATTTTATTCTATTTTATTTATACATTTTAGTAATTTATCATTATATGTATATAATTATATATAAACATGTGTTACATCTATTATATTTATTATTTTATTTATTGTTGCATTTATTGTTTATATTTTATAATATTTTATTATTTAATGATCATTAAAACAGCAATAAATAATAAATACCCAACAGCATGGACACCTAACAGGACAGAAACATTTAAAAATGAAAAACTTAGGTCATAATAAAACTGTAGGTATTCAGATGAAAACAACCAGAAGAACTCATTAGCCATTCTCAGAAATCACACTTCACACACACTTAAAAGTACCAGCAAAATAAAGATTGGAAATTATAAAGTATTAACAAATTGTTTTTAGTTAGCCCAAGCACAGCAGCATGTTAAAAACCCCTATTTCACTTACCCCATTCCCAAGACAGCTCAAGTGGCAAACACACTGTTACATAACACAGGCCATATTTTGCTGAGCAACTCTCTTAGCACAGCTGTAGCAAACAGGGCAAGAGACCTGGACTCAAGGTACCCATCATCATATCGTTATACAGATGAACACTTCAATCCAGACAAGTGACTTGCAGATACTTTCCATCATTTCGTACCGTGCCCACTAATTACACCCCACAGCAGCTGCATAATTCCTGCTCCTTTTGCAGTAACCCAGAACAGTATTCTATAGACTTCACTTTAGGATTCCCTTAGAAGCACTCCATACTGTACCTGTCATAACAACATACTTGTTCCTGAAGAAACCTGCCACTGCAGTCCCTTTGCCTCATGCTTGGCTTGGGTTTTCCACATATTAGGTTGGAGCACAGCTCTCTGGCCAGTATCATCAGCACTTCACTTCAGAAACAGCAGCAGCACCCAGTGCAGACTCAGAAAAGCAGAAAACAACACAGCTCTATACTACCCACAGTGGTAGAGACTCCTCAGCTTCCCCAGCTCACCCTTCCCAACCACACCACCCCTTTTACCTCTTTGTTAGCTCAAATCTACATAGAAGTCCAAAGCAGGTCAACCTCCTCTCCATGATTTCCTAGTGTGATGCAGACTTCAGTCACTCCCTTTTGAAAGCCAGGCAGTTTCCTCAAAAGCCTTCAGGTAGCAGTCTTTGACTCGTGCTTAGTCCCAGCAGAAGTATGAGTAGCAGCAAGAAGCCAGTAAAACCCTAAAGAAACCATCTGTTGTTATAAACACCCTTAAAGTGCTTATTCAATCTGTTGATGGCATATCTTCATCAGGTTCATATATTTGAAGTTTTTAAAGCAAGTTGTTTCCTAGCCCTGCGAATCCTCCCTCAGGCCTGTTAGCCACCTGGACCCAGCTGAGAGAAGTTGTAAAGTTAATTATTAGAGCTAATGGCTCCAAGCACACCACCTGGGCTGGGGCACTGCCTCAGCACATGCTTGCTGTCCACACCAGTGGGAGCCTCTTTTGTCAATGCATTGGTCACATTGCAGCACATACTACAGCATATATTTGTCATCCCACCTCAGTGACATATTCCAACTTAGAAAATCCCTCATGTGCCCAGGCCATGTTTTCCCCACACTGTAGGGGATCTTGTATGCTATTTTCTTCCAATTCTTTATGGCATATGCTCCAAATCAGTGTGGGGTTACTAGAAATCAAAGGATAGGCATGACAGACTGCCAAGATAAAGTATCAGCAGTTTTCCAGGTTTTCATCTCCCAAGACATCATCCATCCCCCGCATTACCCAACCCTTTTTTCTCAGTATACTTGCCCCCAAATCCTCCAGCTCATTATTCCTTAAGAAGAGCTTCCTGTCCTCTAAACAGCAACACCACTTCTAGCCCCCAAGCCTTTGCTTCTCTTCATTATTTAGTTTCTCACTAGTTGTTCCAAGTCCCACTACCTGGCAGCCTCTAGTAAAGAGCTGCAACTCCTCTGTAATTCCACCCTCAACAGAAGCAGTAGGTGCTGTGCCATTCCCTTTCCATACTGCCATTTCATCTTCCTGTCCCTGTACCCACTGCTGGGGACTTCACCTTTCAGACTCTGGCTTGAGCCTGTTATTGTCGGGTGCTATGTTATGACTCCAAGCAGCAATCAGTTAGTCTCTAGATACAGTTGAGCAGACTTCTCTCTTCTTTGCTCTTGGTGAATACCGAACAGTGCCCAGAGGAGGTGGTGCCTTCCACATGCTCCTAGACTTGGCTGAGTCTCTTCAAGAAATTGATTGTTGTAATTTAAAGTGTAAAACCATGACATTTCTTAGCCTCAAAAAGGAAGTTACTGTTCACCCTGCAAGGGGAAAACTCTATTTGAATCATCGTTCACTTCACAAGCCACAGATCACAATGTCTCCATAACATTAATTACAGGATTTAGTACAGAATTAAATTTATGTAAATAAAAGTAATTATAATAATTATTGCTACTATGGTGCAATTATATTACTAATTGTGCCCTGACTTGCATTTCTGGTATCAGCTATGTCTTTATATACTTCACCACCACCACCACCCTCAGAGGGAAAAAAACCAAGTTCCTCCCTCACACACACAGAGCACTTCATCACCTACCAGAAAACTAAACAAACCATCCTGTTCTGACCTGCTAGTACTGATTCACTGATCTTGTTAGGTTTAATTGTTCAGGAGACAAATACAGTAGATATAGCAGAGGGAAAAGCAGTATTTGTGTCTAATGGAGTGCCTTCTGTTATGTAGTTATGGATAAATTCCCTATTTAGTACCAGTATTTTCAAGTTTCTCATAAACTGTAAACTGGGATGCAGTTGGACTTTGAAGACCCAAAAGAATAATGTTTCTGAAACACAGTATATTCCCTGAACCCTCTAAGCTGAGAACTCTGCAGCTATTTCACACCTACACAGAATAAGCAATTACTAGTCAAATGTGGTTTCAGCTCCAATTGTTGCTCTATAGCTATGTTGGTACCTATGTTTGTGTCTAAATCACAAGGCAAGAATGCTCTGGAAAGTAAACCACTGCCAGTTGCCTAAAGCAGATACGAATCTACCCTTGCTGCCAGCCACTTTGCTTCCAGTGGATATTAGAGTGGACACAAGATAAGAAGGTGCAGGAAGGATGTTACTTACCCGGATCTTATGTCAAATACAGTGTCAAGATGTGTCTGGACACCTATCCAATTATCAGCTAAGAAACCTTATATATAGACTGACACCTCTCTCTTGTGCTTTATTCTATAAGCTTTCTCCTCAGCATGGCTCAGTAGACTAGGAAATAAAACTTTAGCTAAGTGAAGCCCTAACCCAGCAAGTGATGAAAAAGTCTAGAAGAACTGAAGAAGAGTATGTAGAGAATACATTGAACCAGTATTACGCTATGGTACTGGAAGCACCAAAATTGATATTTTTTCAGTTAAGATGCAAAATGCAGGTTTCTATTTGGTGTGATCATTGTTGGCCTATCAAAAGTTTACTCTCAGTGAACAAGCAAAAGTTCCTCATGTCACCCTTTTTCACTGTTTTGTACAACAGTATCAAACTCTCTTGTAGCTGCATCATACACATTCTACTCTGAAAAGAAAAACAAAAAAATCATGATGATTATGCTAAACTGGAGAGTGAAGATTCTAGTCTAAAGGCAGCTTTTATACCAATGTGTAAGGATACAATTACAATAGAACGAGTTTGTAGTGAATTAAGCTCCCGTACTATATAAACTTAAGGCAGAAAATCCTGTGCCGGATACTTACTATATAAATAAATAATACTATGACTTCATGGAGATATACTACCCCTATGTGACAAAGGGTTACTGTCATTTCATGACCTCGTACAGATTTATTAGGGCTGACTGCCTTATCAATATGGCTGTCCTTCCTGCATATACACTACTTACAAACATACACTACTCTGTTTATCTGAGCTAGTACAGATATCGCTCAATACAACCCTTCATTATGCAGCATAGACATACCCATTCAACATGTCAAGCAGTTATACACAGTGCAAGGCCAACAGTACCACATTGGTTTCTAAGTTCACAAAACGATTTTGGCAGAAGCCATCTTCAAAGACATGAAATATGCTGAGTATAGCCATAGCTAGAAATCAGCTCTATGCCTCTTGCATACTCAAAGCTCCCCCTGAAGTATAGAAGACATTTGTTACAAGTACTTCAGTGACAGTGAACAAGGCCCTTTGTTGTTATCAATGAAAGTCATTCACTTGAGCTGCTAAGTGATTTTTCATTATGGTACGACGAGCAACCCCAGATTTAGCTATGACTGGAAGAGAAATAAAAATGCAAAAGTGGAGAAGCAATTTTTATGGACTGATTTTTTCAAAACCAAACAAGAGTCAGGGAATATTATGTACCACATCTAATTACCCACCAATTCAGCAGAAACTGTAGCTTTGATTTCACAAATATACCAATGAGGTGAAAAATTACAAAATCTCTGCTGAATGGAGGACAATTCCTCTGTTGGCACAGAGAACCATGCTTTTTCATACAATAACATTAACCAGAATAGAATAATTTTTTTTGCACTTGGTCTGCTGTTTGTAACAGGAAATTTCCGACACATCACACCATAACTTACTTCTAATGACCACTTATCTATTGCAAATCATTACATCTTTACAGCCAAAGGAGGATTGGTACTACCCTACTAATAGCTTATTAAAATGGTCAGGAGCTTCCTATGGACAATAAGAACTATGTAAGAAAATTAGAGAGGAAGAGAGACACTGAAAGTTCTGGGATAAAATTTACAAGACCTAATTAATTTCAGTAGATGAAAACCTGTGAAATAACTTTCCTCACACAAAAGTATGGCTCTCGCAAAGATAAAAGAAACATTCTTTAAAAAGTTTTTATTACAATTGAGTCAGCTTAGTGTAAGTCACTGCAAAACAAAAAAAATACATAGCAATTTTGGTTTTTTTTGTCTTACAGAAACAATTTGGAAATTATTTACCTTTCTCTGGGCAGTCTTTTGTTGCTGTATTTACTGTGAGACAAAAACTCCATTAGTTTTTACCCATGAATTGGAAAAGTGGATTTTAGTGCAGTTCTGTATCCTTTAGGCTAATGACATCAAAGCCATTTGGTATTCTCTAACTAAATAAATAGGCTCAACTCATATAATCTCATTTCATGTTTCTTCTGATTAGATTGGTTTTCTCACTCTTTAGCACTAGGGGAATGCCACCGTGCGTGTTTTCTTCTCAAGAACCAGCTTAACCAGAGATGACTGCTGCTGTCTCTCCAACTGACTGACTCTAACTGGATATAAATACATTTTATTTCAATCTTTGATTGTTTCTACCAAAACTGTTCTACATAAGAAATATCTAGTATAATAATTAAATGCTTTTATTGAACAGGATAGTTATTATTATTTTCTTTTTAATAAATTGGGCATTGCGAAGATCAAGTCCACAAAACACCATATGGCTAACTTCAGCAACTTTGTAGGACCAACTGTATTTTCTTAACAAACAAAATCACGATGGGCTCCTCCTCATCACTTCGTAAGATTGTAAAACAGTGATTTGGAATAGCATATATGTAGCTGCTATCAGGAGATATTTGCTGTGAATGAAGAAGTAAAGCCATGATAAAACCGAGATAGCAGAATTCAGGTGGTCAGATTTTGGAGAAGCAGTATGGTTTTGATCTCAGGCAAGAGCCATTCAGAAATGTTATATTTTTGCACATTTTCGTGGTCTGGATTTTACTGCCAGAGAAAAGTATCTTTTTTCTCCATTAAACTGAACCACATTCATGCACATGTTGCTCGCAGTGTCATAAACAACAACTGTACATACACAAAAGCTACAGAAAAAGACAGATTGTAACCAATTTTTTTTTTTTAGAAGAGGGCAATAAAGAACCAAGGAGAGCTCCTGATGACGCTATCTGTTGGGATGTCATCAATCTTCTCAAGTGGTCTAAAGGATAGCTAACAAAGACAGGCGGCTAACTAACTGCTCCTAACTCTTGTTTCTTGCCGCCTTCTGGATGTGCTTTTTTACTTTTCTTATCTGTAGAAGCTATGCTATTCACACAGAGCCCCTTTTACAGGAAGGATAATTTGGGATCTAGATTTGAAATAAGTACATGAGAACTATGCAGTTCAATCTGAAATCAATGCAATAAATTAACATGCATTTGATTTCATAGCAACAATCACAATAGAAATAGTCTACATTTAAAACTCATGGAAGAATCCAAATAAGCACAGCAACAAGGGCAGTACATCAGTGAGGGTGGGTTGCTTTTTCAACATTAAGTTAAATAATTACCATTTCCACTAACACAACCTAAGATTGCAAGTTAAAAGATGGAGCAAGATGGCTAGTAATCAGGAGGAAATTAACAACTATCCATGGAGGCAGTCCAGGTAAGGAAAAAGAGTATTGGACTAGAAGTAAACAGGATGAAATAATTGAAAGGCTCTTCCCACCTGTGGAAGACTTTCAGACACAAAAGCTTTGTTTGTGGTTCAGAGAAACAAAACAGGAATTAGAAGTTCAGATAAAATGTTCTCCAAATTCTTTTGATCTGGAGTTTGGTCTAAAGAAGCAGTTCTCCGAGAGTTTTATTAAGCAGCTTGATAAGAAAACAAGCATTTTTCAGTTTTACTTTATATTCATTCCTTGTTCGTGGCCTGTATAGTTACTTCTTAGAGTACTTTCATTTTCATTAATTTCATCAGCACAGCACTCAGCAGTGCTCTTAATGTGTTTTTAGGCACATTCTCTTGATTTTCTTGTACAGAACAGAGATACCAAAAAAAAAAGTCCCCTCCCAAAATATGCCAACCCACCAGTTTCCTTAATTTCTAGAGGAAGAGGAAAGAGCAGGTGGAATATTGAGCACTATGCATCCTGCCATGTCACTATCATAGATGCTATTACTTACCTGCATCAATGATTCTCTCAAAGTGTTTTGGCACAATACAAAGACTGCAAACAACAATCATAAGACAGAACTCCTTTTTGAGTCTGGTACAGATATCCAGGTCCCTATTTGGATACTGTAGTTGCCAATAACTGCTTTTTTTTATTTTGTCTTCTACCTTGAAGAATGCAACAATCCTTACTTGAAGTTTTTTCTCATTAGAGTTAGGAAGTGCTAACTCTCTAAAGGAAATCAAATATGGGTCCTATGAATCTTTCATAATGCTTTCACCCAGAGCAGCAGTTAATAGCTACATTATGGAGAACTACGCTACCTCCTAAATTTACGTGTTATCAATAAATTCAAACTACATCTCCCCTGCAGTTCACTTCCTATGCCATTCAGTATCTCCAATTTTTACCTCAAACCTTTCATGCTGTAGCACTTAACTTTAAAAAGGAACAAGGTACAGAAATTGTGGATGGTTTTCTTGATTAGAAGAAAGCATGATCATAATAAGGACTACAAAACATGTAAGTACATTCTTCTTCAAAAGCCAAATAAAAATGAAAAAACAACTCACAATTTATCAGGTATGAAAGAAATGTAGTAGGGACTAAGCCCTAAAAATACCCTGTAACCTTATCTTTGACAAGTGCATTATATGTACTGCTAGCAGACTTGTGGCTTTCTGTCTAGTTTTCATTTTAGCAACCTCTGTCAGCTTGTCACACCTGTACCTTTTGAATTGAACTGCAAGACAAGGAGAAGAGTTTCTTCTCAAATCTTAGAAAGAGAACTTGTACATCAAGTATTTTAAGTGCAGATATGTAAGCTACAGCATTCCTGGAAACCTTGAGATATTATACTAAAATAAAAGTCAAGAGCTACAATGTGAATTTGGTGCACAGGCATACATGAAATGGTTTGCTGGCACTTACCAATCTGTACAGAGTAACTGCCTGCAGAAGGATAATCAAAATTAGTGCCCTTTCCATAAGTATTTTTGATTTCTGAAATAAAACATGCATTTATAGAGATATCTTATTTTTCTTTAGTCAAACTTCCATCAATGAATCCTGAACAATTTTGATCTTTTTGGAAATGGACTCACAGCATCTGTGTTTTTTGCACCTTTCATATAGACTGAAAGCTCAAGCACCCAAAGGTGCTGCAACATACTCAGGAAATCAGTTACAGCTGACTAGCTCCCATAACCTTAGAGAGGACAGAGAGACTCTGTGTCTTCTGTTATATATTGTTGTTCTTACAATGTTTCTCACTTGAGAAAAAAGAAAAATAATCCCACAAACATTTTAAGTTTCAAGGGATCTGAAAGATTTCTTGAATTCTACTGATTAGCATTTTTGTCTAGAGTTAAAGGAAGTGTGTTCAATCCATGTTCTACATTTCACAACAAGTTACATGTTCATAGAAGTTAAAATACGGCTTAACACTGTTTGCCTCCATAAATGACTTGATTAGAACTGCATGGAGTAGAAAAATTGTCATCTAAGACCTGTTACAGGTAAAACCAGTGGTTTCTTAAAAACTTAATTGCAACACAGAAATTAGCACACACAACTGATTCTCTGTGTGTATCAAATAAAAGATGTTTCCACTGCCATCATCAGCATAACTGAATGTAATTCACGCATGTTTAAGGCATCTTTGAACTATGTAGATCAGGTTTTGCAGCTCTTTTAACTAAGGCAACACAAAGCTTCAGGCAGGCTGCAAAACTTGATGGAGCAGTAGGGCCAATGATTGGGCATACAGAAGAATACAATGAGTTCCAGGCTGCTATTAGAATGGGGCTGATATTTAATTTAGCCAGTTATGGTTAAGACCAAATTTTTAGTTTAATATTTTAAATCCTTATTCAGTGAAGAACCCATTGAAATGTCAAAAGAAATAACCCTAAACTTTAAGTACCACTTTAATTTTTCAATTCATTTTTCTGAAATTATACACAGTAATTATGTTTCATATTTTTGACAGGTTTCCCCATAGACCTTCTTCAAGGGACCTAGGGTTTATCCCTTGTCAATGTTGCTGCTCTTTATACTTTAGCTCCAAAATAAATTGTTCTTCCTTCTTTAGTGTCTGTTATAGGTGTGGTGGTTTGTGGTGGTTCTTTTCCCCCCCACCTCAAGTGAAATTTACTGAAGTGTGTCTTGGGTCATGAAACACAATAATGAAAAAAAGAGGAAACTTTACAACACTGATCTACTAACAACAGTATTCTACCTATGACAGTACTGCTAACACAGAATATCTTCCCAAGTGTATCTTAGATAATGCCTAAACTAGATGTCAGATAATTTGCTCTAAGGAAATAACAAATACAAAAACATATAAGAGGCCTCTGAAATTACATTATACAGAGAATTTGAACAAATGTTGAAAAGAAGGCTGAAGAGATGGCAGAATGTAAGATGAACACTGTTACAGATGATATTAGCATGAAAAAGAATATGAAAATCTTTCAACTATCTCCAAACTTTTACAGAGTAACTTACTGCAATCTTATTTGTCACAAACCAACAATTATTTTGAGGGTTTGCCCTTGCTTCTTCTTGGATGTATCAGCAAAATCTAGGAAATCACTGGTAGCCCTAGAATTGGAATAGATTTATTGTATGTGTACTGGACAAACATAATAACAAAGATTATATAGACAAACCAGTTTGAGAGAAATCAAAAAGCTTTCTTACCTACTAAATATTCCACTAGCAGAAAAGGCAATTTGGTTTGTGACTAGCACACTACCTTGAAAAATCATACTTTGTTTCATCTCTAGTCTGCTCTGTGATCTGAAAGTAGGTTATTTCAATGACTTGTTGTGTTCAGTTTTTATCTCCTTAGGGCGATAACAAAAATCAAGTCTCCCTTGCAAATGTTTGGATTTTAAGGTAAAAAGTATCATGCAGGCATATTATCATTAAATTGTTTTTAAAAGTCAATGAACAGTCATAGTTACATTCTTGTTATCTACAAGAGTAGCATTTACAAACAGCTTATAACCAAGGAATCTAACAAAAGAAAGAATTAAAGGAAAGAATGTGGAGTAGCTGGAAGCTTCAGTGAAACTTTCTTTAGTGAAGAAGTTTCTTCTTCACTGAAATTTAGAGGGCATAAAGTGACTAATAAATGCTTTTTCCATACAGCAAGTACCAGACTACTGTAATTACATTTAGCATTATAGCATATTTTAAATTAAGTATCAGTTACAACTCCTGTGCAGTTTAACTTAAAGCTTTTCAAACCAGACACCTGGAGAAGTTATTTTTTCAAATGTAATTACAGATGATATTCAAACAAAATATTAAAATAAGTCTTTTACCTGATAGAAAAAATATTTTAATACTAGAATAAAAATAAAAGATTTATCACTTCCTACTGTCAGGAAATATGTCAAGAAACAACAGTACCTTCTCTGAAGTTGTAAAATGCCTAAAAATCAATGAAAAAAGTAACTTACAAGGGAATAATGGCACTTCCTTTAATGCTTAGTGGTAACTGAAACGCAATATATTTTTTTGTTAATTTCCTTGCACACATCTTACAACACCAGAGTAGCTGAATTGTTTATTTCAGAAGAACTCATACATATAAGCATAATTTTCAGAAAGCTCACATGCAACAGACTGTGATCAGCGTTTGTATATTTCAGTATCACTTACTTTCACCCAACTGCACACAAGGAAATTATTCAAATTACAAAAAAGCTTGCTGGAATGTTGATTTTGGCAAGTTTTTTTCTAAATTTCACTGTGTAAAACTAACAATCTTTAAAAACTTTAGCCTAAAATATTCATTTTTAAAAGGGATATTTGTGGAACTTCAGTAGAAAACATTTTTTATAAAATACAAAATGCTTGAATATTTTTAAAAATACTCAATATTTCTAAAATATTATGGAGTTGATAAATTGTCATAAATTTAACACAGGTTCCCTCTAATTCAGGAAAGTGGTTCTCAAAATAAATCAACAATTCCCTAGTGCACTTCTAAAGAGAAAAGATCAAAAGCAGTAACTGGTATCTTTCCTTCCAGTGTTAATTAGTAATTAAAAACCTTAGTTTCATTAATACCTACTCTGAAAGAGTTTGATTTTTTGTAATTAATTCCTTTTTGGTGGGGAAAGAGGATGCTACACAGACAAATTCTATAAAAAAAGAGTAATGAAAATCAACTAGTTTGAAACTGTTTGCCTTCATCACAGTTAAAAAAGGATATGAGACTCCATTATTTTCTTTTAAATAAGCATCTTCCCTGAAAGACCTCAGCTTTCATTTGGTCTTGAGTTGCAAGTATTGCATAATTCTACTGGCCAAGTAACATTCTTTCTCTGTGACAGTTCAGGTACATCTGATAATTTTAAGTAGAAATACAAACATTAGAATCAGTTCTTTGGCATAAGTACAGAAGTTGACAACTTCTACTATTTGGATTGACTGCAAGTCCTAAAGAAGAATTTCCATATTTGGAACAAGGGGGACAGGACAGGACTTGTCACCATTTTGAAACGAAGTAGATTAAAAGAATGTCCCTTTATGGATTTCAAGTGTCTTCCATTTGTAATTTACTTGATGTCTTCAGTACTGATTCCATTTTCACTTGCATTATCACAGCTCAATATTTCCTGCATACAAGGTGATCATCAGTATAGCAGTAAACCCTGTTAGTAAACCAGCATTCTGAATAAGGAAGAATGTCAGATCCACCTTTCTTCCTGTCACTTTCTCTCGCAGCATATCATTCATCTCTGGGAACTGAAAAAACAGATATTTTTAGGTAAGTATTGCCACCTCGTGGTAGCGTGCATAACTTAAAGCATTAAGAACTGAACCGTATTGTTACTTAAGGCTGAATATTACAACTAACAGAGGACAAAAGCAGTCACAGGACTGGGTCACCCTAATTACCCTGAAAAAACATTTCACCAAGGATGTTGAAACGAAATGGTGTTTTGCTCCTCTGTGCTGTGATTTCACCTCATGCAAATTTCCTTTTTTTAATTCCAGCAGTCTCCTAGAGTCCAATTGTTGGTCCATACGTTGCTGGGAGCAGCTGCCCTTGTATTGCTGAATGCTGTGTTTCTTCACTAATATAAACAGAGAAATCTTTTGCGGGGAAATGGAAGATTAAGATTCTTCTGCTTTATCTAAAAGCAAATGAAGTGAAGCTTGAAAACAGAGACAACGTCTCAGAAATAAGAAATCTGTTACAAATAGGCGGCCTGTTGGGCTGATGTAGTGGCAAAGCAAGAAACAAAGAACAATGTTGTGAAACTGGAGATAACACATGCAATATTACATTACAGTGCAATGAAGGGATTCCTCATTCCATGACACACATTTTAATGGCAACATAATAGCAAAGGATGACTATCTGTTGTTAACTGCATGAACAAAGATACTTCATCTGAGAGCAAATGGAGGTGATGGCAGATTAGCATTTGTGATAAAGTCCCCTGTATGGTGTGATTTAGGGTATGTGTTTGCTGAAGATAAAGTCAGCTGCAGTAGATTTTGACAAACATACTCAAGTAAGTTTTGAACTCTTCTGTTGTGCTGAGAGTAATATAGCCAGAATGCAATGAACACTGTATATTTCAGTGTTAGAAACCTTAAGGCTGGGTGACTCAGAAGCTGTATCTTTCTTTGCTCTCACAAGGCAAAAGCAGCCACTGAAGGTAACGCAATTCTTGAAGAACAGACTGAGGCTAGTGTGAAGTGGCCAAACCTTCCCAGAAATCATTCCAGAGCTCCGTAATCCTCTTGCACAAGAGGCAACGAACCAGATCAGCTTCATGCCATACAGCAAGGCTCATTTGTGCACACACCTCAGTGTACGCATTCTCACATGCCACAGCCTCAGCACACAGTGATTTTCCTGGCAGAAGCTGGACTATGCCAATACTGGAGGAAAAAAAAGATTAGCAGAAAGAAAATAAGGAAGGAATGACATTCTAGTTAATCCTACCTGCTTCTGGACAAGCAAATCAGAAGTGTGTGAAAACCATAACAGAAAGCGTAAAGCCAGATCTCTGTATAGAGCACATGAATACCCTATTTCAGACTTTTCAGGGGGAAGAAAGATTCAGATAGGTAACTGATATAATCCAAAAACCTATAAAAAGAGAGAAAGATTGAGGCAGAGGGAAAGAGACAGAGAGAAACAGAGAACAGAACAGATACAAAGAAAAGAATGTTACCTACTTTGATGGATTTAATAACAAACTTAAGTTGACCCACTCTCAATTTATGCCACGGGTTTTACATTGAGTAAGCTCTATTCATTAAATAGGAGTGAAACTAAATGAAAACCTTTAGCAATTAAGGTACAGCCAATTTGTAAAAAAAAAATCTAAATTGTCCATTTAACTCTAATATTATTACTTATTAAATTCTATGTTATTACCTAAATTGTAATTGTATTTAGTGAAATAGTCGCTTTAACTATGTGACAGTTCCTAGACACATACAGAACCAAACTGGGGTCTCAAATCTTTTCAAATTCAAGCCTTACTCTTCCAGTTCTACACTCAAATGTATTCTCCTGTGGCAGCTGTAAACATCTTTGCAGATACATCTGATCTTTCAACCATGAATTAAGCATTATAAAACTTAAAATTCTTGAAAGATCTCTCTCATTTTGACATAATACGTCATCATAAGAGTAAATTTTGGAATGCTGCCGACCACTTGTGAGTTGTCTAAATCTGATCTGAATCCTAGTACAATTTCTTTGGCTTAGATCTTCTTGCAGACTTTAAAAAATAAATGATAGACAGACTGTTGTGAATAGAGTTTAGCAACTTTTAGTTTGAACCAAGAAACTGGGGCTGGCACTGTTTAATTTAAACCAGAACAGAATTTAAGTCAGGTTTTTCACTTAAAGAACCCCAAAGCTTTGACTGTGGTTACACAACACCTTTCATTCAACTCAAAACTAGTTAGTTTCATTTTGTTTAACTTGGTTTAGCTTGGGTTTCTTTCTTTACTTTCAAAATATGGTTTAAATAGACAATTGAACCTTTTAAAAATAATAAAGAGAAATACTTTGCCACCTCAAAATGCCAAAACAAAGCACGTCTACACTTTTTACTCTTTGATGAAAGCAGCCCAAATTCATAAAAAGCTCATTTCTCTCTAAAATTCTGTTTCAGCAATAATCTGAACAGCCCTATTTGTGAAGTGAAAAGTTTTCATGTTTCATGAATAGGCATAACTATTTGTGTGCCTCCATTAAGCATATAATTGATGATTTAATGATTATAAGTAGATGACACTAGTATGAGAGGGACAAATTTTATTGATTTTACTAATTAGCAAAATTTCCTAATTTTACTCATGTAAATTCTACTGAAATCTTTGTTTTCTTCCAGAAAAATAAATAAATGAAAAAGAATCTCACCATATCTGCCAAAGAGATGTACAGGAACATTCCACCAGCTACAGCAAAGATGATGTTAGGAGCAAAGTTGTTGCCTACTAATATACCAAACGCCATCCCAATGTAACACGAACATGCAGACAGAAAATTGAAAAACAGAGCCTGCCGAGTACTCATTCCTGCGTTAAGCAAGATGACAAAATCCCCTAAAAGAAAGAAAGAAAAAAATCTTCAGAAAATGATATTGTGATTATTTTCTCATTTCAAAGGAAGTCTGAAGACACGATCTGTATATAAATTATGACCCCTGATGTTTTTCTTCATCCAAATATATAATGAGGATTTCCCTTCAAAACTAAGGTAAATGAAATATTCTAAAGCAAGCAGCTATGTACAATTGAGCTAAGAGCATAGAAACACAGAATTACCCATAAGGATTTCAGAAAAACGATGTATACAACAGTGTATATAGCATATATGAACAGGCCAATTAATACCTCTCTAATATACCAGCTTCCACCCATCTGCACCTGGGACCTTCCTGTGCTAGATGTGTATTTTGGTGCTTTGAAATTTTCTGATTAATATTTTCTCCAATAATATATCTAAACTTTCAATCAATATCAAATTTTGGCCAGCACAACCTCCAATAACAGTGAATTCCACAGTAAACAAAGTGTTGAATAAAGTTCCTTACCCAGTTCATGAGGAAACTCTTCACACAAGATGGCTATGGACGTACTAAGCCCTTGAAACAGAGACAAAGTGAAAGAAGCACCAATAGCCAAGCCATCTATGAAATTATGTACGGCATCACTCAGTGTTACCATCCAAGCAATGGTACCAATCTTTGATAGTGGACGCCCATTAAGGCACCTGCACAAATTGGCTTGGGTGGCTTCTTCCTGGAAAAAAATAACACAAAAAAAACAATTACATACAACACTAAATAAAGAAGGCAACTCTTCTGTCTTTAAGTGAACGCTAAGTATAACATAGAGCACTAGTGCATATGGAGACCAAAATGCTTGATTCAAGAAGCAAAAAAGCACAGGTAACAGTAGTAAATGTTTTCTGTTTCAACAAGTTAACAAACAGGGCCAAATCACCCTTCTCTCTACAAAGCTTTATCTAAATGCTCTTCAACTAAGACAGAAAACAGCTCACACTACAGTGGTCTGAATGTCTCTCTGGAGTATCTGTCAGATTAAGAGAATGCCAAGCTCCTCACAGCCTCCTAAGCCACCTTTATTAAGCATGTATAGACAGAAGGATTTGATCACAGTAACAGACAGCATGTGTTTCCTATCTAAAACCCGTTTCCTACCTGGCCCAGTTACATGCTGCCAGTACATCATGCTCTCAGACACACACTTAGCTGCCACAATAACAGCCAGGTACATGTGAATATAGACACACATCCAGATACTCCATAAACTTTATTTCTAATCTGCAGCAATGATAGCCATGCCCAGTTATTCAAATCAGTTTCTACGAAGTTCATGTTTAATAAAAACATAAGTGGGTAATTCTGACTGTGCAAACTGAAGGCTCAGAGCATGAGAACAACAGGCTAATACAAACCTGCAATGCACATACATACGCACATATCTCCCAAAAGTGAAAATAATTTATACATGCGGTGCCATGAAGTAACAAAAAACATGACCCAGATAAAAGGAACTGCCATTTTTGGAGGAAGCACAAATTAACCTTCCCTAAAAAATTCCTGATGATCCCTGTCATGGTTTAAGCCCAGCTGGTAACTCAGCACCACACAGCTATTCACTCACCAACCCCCTTAGCATCCCCCTGCTCCTGGCGGGATGGGGAGGAGAATCAAAAAAATAGAAACCCCATGGGTTGAAATAAGAATAGTTCAATTACTAAAGTATAATATTAATAGTATAATATTAATTACCATAGTATAATATTAAACTTCTAATAATAATAATAAGGGAAATAACAAGGGGAAAGAATATAAAATTAAAAGGGGAAAGGGAAAAAACCCAATAAACACAAGTGATGCTCAATGCAATTGCTCACAACCCACTGACTGATACCCAGCCCAACCCAAGCAGCGATCTGCCCTTCTGGGTGACTCCCCCCAGTTTAAATACTGGGCACGACGTGCTGTGATATGAAATATCCCCCTGGCTAGTTTAGGTCAGATGCCCTGTCTCTGCTCTTTCCTGAATTCTTGTGCCCGTCTTCACTGGCAGAGCATGAGAGACTGAAAATTCCTTGATGTAAAGTAAGCACTACTTTGCAACAACTAAAACATTGGTGTTATCAGCATTGCTCTCAGACTGAAGCCAAAACACAACATTGCACCAGCTGCTAGGAAGGAGAAAAAGTAACTGTTACAGCTGAAACCAGGACAATCCATCAGACTGCATTTTGAAAAGGTATATTAGTAACTTCTATTATATATGAGAAAGAGAGCTAGTAGTTGGTTTTGTTCTATAAAACCCCTCTATTACAAAAAAAAAATCCCCCACGAAATGCCAAGCATCTCCATAAAACAAGTGGTTTTACAAAAAGTCTTTATTACGATGAAAAAATGAAAACAGTGAGCAAATACTAGAAATGTGCAAAAATGCCACTTCTACATATGTGTTTGTTTGTTCCCATCAAAGCACATTCATGTTTTTTTTTGTGGAAACCATGTGTGTTGTGTGCCTACAGTTTTCTATGGGCTGTAAGGGCATAACTGGCTTAGCCATAGCACCAAGAAAAGAGCCATGTTCTGGTACCAGTTGCACAGCTGCCAGTTCAGCATTGCACATGTGTGACAAACACGAAACTCTGATCAGAAATGGTTTTTTTCTTAAAGTAAATAATTCACAAATATCTGTGCTGAACTTTCTATGTGCGTATGAAAAAAATGAACATTGAGTAAGAAGATGCTATTTAGAATTAACTTGAACTCATTAAGAATGGAACTGACTCTACAAACATGCTGAGGTTTGCGCTGTTTTATTTATGTACTTTTTTAAGTATTTGCAATTAATTTAGGAGAACAGTATTGATTAAGTTCTAAAAATCACTTTGTTGATCCAGTCTTTCAAAATGCAGAAACAATTGGCACTTAAAAACTGGAAATCAGCTATTGGGAGGCTTCTGTAATATATACAGGGCTGTCTGCTGTTTACTGTGTAGCTTTGAAGTATCATAATTCCTGCCTGTAATCTATTTCAGATAACTTATTGATTTCTATAAATTATATAAAGTACAATTACATTGTTTGTCTGGGTTTACCTTCTGAACTTTAACAGCTTGTGTGTCAAATAGAAGTAGATGAACAATTAATGCATATGCTTAATGTTTAAGATCAGGCAGAATACTGACAAACTGAACCTATAAATACATAAGATTCCAAGGCAAAAACTAACAATGTCTATCTCTGCTGGACTGTTCCCACTTTGTCATGGTAGTTTGGTAGTTTTATCACATACAAGGTGCCAGCTAAGGAGCATTGTAATGCCCAACTGGACTATCAGATCTGACTTTTATTAATTATTAGTGCAGTTCTGTATTATTTGTATCTCCACAGTTTATGGTGAACCAAAGACATCCTTGGTACTTTTGCCTTCTGAACACAATCTTTTCTTTAAAAGTAATGCCATATCCTTTGTTCCCAAATTTAAGAAATCATACAGAGACTCTCTTACTTTATCCTATGATATCTCATCAGATTAGTATTGTTATTTGTAATGCACCTCTGACTCCCTGAGATATGAATGAGACATGCCCTTCTGTATCCTCCGGCAGTGCCCACAGGACCAAGAAGGAATACTGACACTGGCCTCCAGGGCATAAATAAAGGCCACCATAAAGTTCAGATATACAACTCTAACACTGTGCACTCAAGGATACAGACATTTCAGCAATTTGTCTCTGAAACAAAATCTTCTTTAAAGATTCACTTGTAAAGCCACATCATTTTAATGCACGGTAGATAAAAATTTGGGGTAAGTACGAAAGAGGTTTCCCTGGTTGCATTTACTACTGCAAGTGAAATCTGAAATTATGTGACTAATTAAACATTCAGATTTACTCTGGCAGTCAGTCTGTTCTGGCATTAAGAGAGAGAATATGGCTGGATCCCATGGCTGAAAACAATTAATACACTTTAGTACAATTAGACTTCAAACTCCCTCCTTAAAGCCTACGTGATGATTTCCAGCTATGTTGTGTTTGCCCTCTGTAATAAGCTTTAGATTACAAGGACACATAAAAATTCTATTAGGACATGTTCACTTAAGCCAAATGGTTCCTTCACAAATACCAGATGCCTGTAAACTTGAATGTGTGCCCTACCCTCATGGCACTACCCTGCCTGCTCCAAAACCTCTCAGCCACATTGGCCTTCCCCTGCCTCCTAATGACTTTGAAGCTTACCTCCCCTCTGAACCTGCCTGGAGGAGGAAAAGTAATGATAGCTTTTTGTTGCTATCTCCAGTTATCAGCAGGGGGCTATCTGCCCACTGGGCTTTCCTTGCAGCCAGCCTTGGCTCCAGAGTGAATTTCACCCTGTTACTTTCAGGAGGTTTTAATACAACATATTCTCACCCTGTCTTTGGAGAAATGGAGAGAAAGAAAAACTGGGTAGTATGAATTTTATGTAAGAAGAATAAGCAGAGAAGAAGCTTTGTGGAATTTTAAGTTCTTAAAGCCAATGTCAAAATAAAAGTATCTTGGGGTGACCTACAATACTTTATTTCATGAGCACTCCATCTAAACTAGTTGCTAGAAATAAATGCTATATGGTTACATTTTATTATTATAATAGATGGTATGATTTTGTTATGTTTATGCTGCACATAAGCAGATGGCTCACCAAAATGTAATAATGGAATAGATCCAGATAAAACTTCTGGTAAACAGAATGGAAAAACACCACCCATACCACTGGAGATAACTGTCTCCATAGGAGTGGGTTGTTTTATAAATATACAAAATACACTTTAGGGACACTCATAATACTAGTTCCCTCTTGGTGCCCATGAAATTTCAATTATGTTTCTCCCAGTTTTTAAAATGCCCAGTATCCGTCTGGATTCATGATATTTCTACTGAAACGACAACTACTGTTTTGGTACTTTAAACTGTGTGCATCAAATGCCCTGGGAGCCTACAGGGTTAATGCAGAACTCTCAGATTCTCTCCTGGCTGCTAGGGCCTGCCTCTGTTTTCTTCTCCTGCTCCTTACTGCTCTGCTGGCTAGAGAACATGGGTGATAAACCAGAAATCACTACTATGATAAAATCTGCCTTAGCAAGAGAGAACTGTTTCTATGTGGTTTTATTTTTCTTAAATAAGGTACAGTACTGCTCCTCCCTGTTCTGGAAAAGAGTAGAGCAGCACATCAGCTTTCTTTCTCTGCTTCCATTTTCTTCTCAGACAGAAGGAAGTCATGTTTGTAGTATGAAAACAAACACAGAGAAATAAAAAGAACAAATCTGAAATAATAAAACTTACACCAGGAGGAATGGCTTCTGTCTCAACATACTAGCCCCGTAAATCCCACAGTATACTGGAGTAGCACAAGCAGTGTTCACAATATACTGCATGGAAGTTACATACTGTATTGCTTTTCCTCATTAACCATTGATTCATAGGAATCAAGTTCTCACATTTACAGTTTTACGTAGTCAGGAACACAATATGGATCATGAAACACTGAAGCACACTATCACTTTTATCCAGCAAAACAGTATCACTCTTCTAAGCAAAACAATAACAGAATCAAAATTAACTGAATTAACTGATTAAATATATCTCTGTTCTACCCACCCTGACACTGATACTAATTAGTTCTTTTTGTTGACTACAAATTGAATGCATCATTCAGCTTTTGTAAGCTTGCCCAAAACCCCACACTTTTATTCACAGGGCTCAAGCAAGGTATAAGCTATAAATGTACAAAAATTTGACAAAAGTAATAAAAACTTGTATTAACTCTCCCCTCAGATGTGCTTATAAAATTGGCAGGGATATAACAAATAGATATAATTTTCACACCTGTGCTGAGACCACACTGATGCTGTCGAAACCAAGATTTCCATTGCTCTCTATGACGGCTGAATTTGCATAACAAGTCCCCCCATTGCTGGATGACAGTGGTTTGGGTGGATTAGTCTTCTCCTGAGAACGATTCTGTCCGCTGTTTTCAGAGTCATTATGGCCAGTCTAGGTGACAAATAAGTAAGTAGGTAGCTAATTAAAACAAAAGCATAGTAAGAAACACAAGAATATAGAGACAAAAAAGTGCAAGTTGGGGGCCATCATATTCACACTGCTTTGCTTTCAGCACCAAGCAATGGCCAGCAGTAAACATTTAAGTATTTAAATGAACTCCAAATGTATCTAAGTTCCTACTGTGTCTCTTACTTTCAGCTAATCAGAATACATGTGGGGATTTTTCATTTTTGCACCATTATGCAGAACCTCCCAAGCTGAACACACAAGTGACGAACATTTGCTAGCTGTTAGTGGCTGCTTGTCATATAGACTTTTCAGCCTTTGTCAACCATTCCCCAAAATAAAGGGCAACAAATTCTTTCTTTTCTTTTTGGGTGCAGTTATTACAAATGCAGGACAGTTAATCTTCAGAATCTTCAATACCAGCCAGTTTGGGAGGGACTGACTTCTCCTGGCAAAAGGGGAGCTCCAAGGGCAGATTCTATTCACTCCAGCTCTTACGTATTTCCACTTTTTTCTGACGTGTTTAGCTAGCAATGACTTGACAGTTGACAGCAACTGAAACATATGTCAGTGACAACAGACCACAGTCACATCTGGATTCTATTCCCAGCTCTGCTTGCAACTCCCTAAAAAAAGTGAGATCGCTTCCTCTATCTATATGGATTTTAAAAAGTTATGTCAGAATACACAGTAAGGCCGAATTCCTCAGGTAAAATGGAAAACCATCAGGTACCTCAAAATATGACAGGTACTTAAAGCAAGGCTTGTTCAGTTAGTGATACATTTCATTACCTGGTTATAGATCTTCAATATGACTTTAAGAATCCTTTCCACAAAGAACAGAATATAGAATCCACCAAACACCGCAACTGCTTTCTCAATATAGTTATCTACTTTTGGGTCAAACCCAAATGCCTAACAGTGAAGAAAAAAACAGTGCAAATTAATGTGTAATCTTAGTACATTTACAGAAAAACAAGCAAACAAACTCCACACAAACACATATACTCTGCTAAACTACAGACTGTTTCTCTACTGACCATAAGTTTCCATGGGGCTGAAATTATGAAAGGTACTGATCTTTTTAGGGTTTTTTTTCCTTTAACTTGGATTAAATGTTAACAGTGTTTGAATTCAATAGAACTTTAAATGCAGAATGTAGCAGTAAAACGCAAGACAAGGAGAGTCTACCCTGCAGCCCATTAAGAGTCACTAGAATTTTATCTAATGCATTTCTCTTTCTGCCTAGAGGCAGAATAGTCCTTGGTCTTTCCCATGGTACAACTAGACATAGAGATCTCTATGGCTTTTCTCACCCAGCCAGAAAGAGATAGTATTGAACCCCACCAACAATGAGACTGCAACCGCACACAGAACCCCACTGCATCATGCTTCTAAAATTAATACCTTTAAAAACTATGGAAACCAAATGATTCCCCTTGCTTACCTCTGGAATGAGCTGGAAAATTGCATTAGAAAAAAGAGTACCAATGGCCAAGCCCACAAAGTAGGTTAAAACCTTGGGAAAATATGACTTCTTTAATAGGGGAGTTAAAATCAATCCCAGAAGAGATGCCAAGTTAATGATAGTCACAGCCAGGAACCCAAATCCCCAAACTGTGGAAAAACAAGGAGAAATATATTTTAGTATAACACCCACTTCAGATTCTTTGCAATTTTCCTAACAGCTAAATTAACATGGAATTAGGAAGGAGAGTGGTTCCTTTGTTGAAGTTATACTTCACGAATGCATAGATACTTAAGATACATACCTGCAGAAAGGAAATAACTGAAAACATTGTCCAGGACTACCATATTAAAAATGGAAACTCTGCTAGTGTAAGATCAGGAACAGCCTATCTGCTGCTAGTATATATCAGGTCTCTCTACAGTCAGAAGAGTAAAAATTAAGGGTTAGGCCAATAGTCCAAGTAGCTATAGCACAGACATAAGACGAAAAGTCTTACTAGTCCCAGGGTTAGATCCAATTGCCATTTAAGGAACTCCAAGATACAAAGTCTGCTGTCTTGGCTGTACTAGATCCAAGCATCTTTCCTGACAAAGGATAACTCCTTTAATTCATCCTGAGGTAGTGACTTTCTGTTCCTAACACTCTTTCAAGTGCCTTCTGACCCAAAATATTCTATGAGCTCTGTGAGTATGGCAAAAAGCTTTAAAGGTTTCAGTGGTCTACAACACTGCCTCAAGTGATGCCACAGAACCACAAAAGAGAACGGGTTCATCCATAAAAATTAACTACAAATAACAGCCAAAGTCAACACAATGTTGGTTATATGAGAACAGTTTGATATAATCCAGACAGTTGCGCCACTCTTTTACAATACGTATGTGGAGAAGTTACCATAAATTCCTTTCTGCATAGCAGAAACTAACAGATCAGATTACGATCTGCAGCCTAACTTTCCTGCAACACAACTGGCAAACACACTCAGCTAGATTCCTTACCTGCAACTGGGATGACAGCTTTGTTTGCAAAGTGTCACAATCTTTATATGCAATGAATTTTATATAATGTCAAGAACAGAAAGCATCAGAAACATTTAAAGCATTTGCAAAAGGTAAATCATGCCAGTTCAAACATTCATTTGCCATCGTTGAGAGACAGAGCAAGGGAAAAACACACAACTAGACAGGGGTAGATTGACTAAGCTATACAGGAGACAAATTTCCATTAAAATAAATGCCAATTAAGCTTTTAAATTATTTTTTTTTAAGTCAAATCTATAATAAACACATGGTCTTCTAAAGCCATCATGAGTCACAAACCACTGTTAACAGTCTGGGATTAGTATGGGAGCACAATTTTAAACTGAGTTAGAACATAAAAGCCCCATTTACCAGATATGGAGTGCACAGTGCACGTGCCTGAATGACTTCATCAGACACAGGAAATTAGAACAAGTTTCAAAATTTATAATTAAAAGACCCAGTACTAATTACTTTTTGCAGCAAAAGAAACAATTTACAAATGGTGTGTGTAGATTGGTGGATGATAAAAGCAGTACAAGAATGGAGTTTAAAACCAAGCACAAAGAAAAAAATAGGTTACTGCCAAATTGTGAGACAACTTTTCACAGTACTGTAGTTTCACTAACAAATGGTCTAACTTTAACGCTGAAAGTTCAGAACAGCAAAATATACTGGGACACTTATCTTGAAGTACATTTTATAAATGATACAACTGTCACCATTTTGTATGCTTAATGCAATGGAATATGTCTCATAATGTATTAATGGGCCTGTACTCATAAGTAGGCACATACTCTAATACACTGGGATATAGTGTCCCCTAGATCTGGATAGTCCAAAGAACTTAGGATTTTACAAATTGATGTTTTGGTGCTGATTTACTCACCCAAAGTGGAAGAATAAGGAGAAATTAAAATAAGCAATTAAATAACCTCAATGAAAGAATAAGTATTATCTGTCCTAGGCTTTTCACTGCAATAAGCCTCAGCAATATGAGGACTAATTTAAACTAATGAAATTTTTAAAGGAATAAAATAAATCTAAGATCTTTCTTATACGTTCTTCAGGAAGGTGCTCACGGGCCTTGTGTCAAGTTTTTCTTTGAGTTCAAGAAGACCTGAAGTGTAATTGGAAAGGAAAAAAAACAACACCCAAACAGTATTAGCTCATAATTACACAAGTACAGGAACTGGTACTTCAAGAAAAATACCACAAATAGGAAATAGGGGTGGAGGGGTTGATAAAATTCCAAGACAACCAATGTTGCAAAAGTTCCTGCATTTTGGACTGTATTTCACAGTATCATGTAGGCACCACTGTCTTAAAAGTGGTTTTATTCACTGGGACTCCATTTGCACTAAGCTAAGGCTATGTACCTCAAAGCTGGTTAGTCTGACTTTCTGCATCAGAGCAGAGCATTCTGCTTAGGACATTGACTCTCTTCCCCAGGGACTGGTGGCACGGTCAGCCTTGGCCAACTCCCATTACTCTTTCTGTCTCTAGAACTGTAGCCCCAACAAAGAGATAACCAATATACCCAAAGGCACCAGAAATCCAAAAAGCAAAATGGCAGGAGTGAAAGTAAGGTACCCTCCTTAGAACACCAGTGCTCAGCACTGTGCCTTATGAGAACTGGGATGACTGCTCTGGGCCTTCTTGAGGCAGGCTCGAACTTTTCCTTAGTCCTGTCCTGGGACAAATGGCAAATGAGTGCATGAATAACTTTCTGAGGAAGCCAAGCAGAGAGCACAGAGCTTGGACAGAGGCAACACTAGTGTACGTTTCCAGCTATTTCATGTAGCTCTATAAACCTCTCCCATTATCTTTCAGAGAAGCAAGAAAGCGAAGCACATGAGTGTGCCCCCAGGGTCAGCCAGGTTAGATATGAGTTATACAGAACACAAGGAAAAAGACATGCCAGATATTGCATTTCAACTTCTACTCTGCTTCAGCAGCACTTTTTCTGTTATTGCAAGTAGCTGCCTGATAAAGCTTATTGTGCTAGTTTCTTCTGTATGTCTTGTTCGTTTGTATTTTGGAAGACAGAGTATCAAGTGTGTGGGAGTCACTGGGCAGAAAATTCACTTAAACACAGCTGAAAACATACATAGAGGATTTTCCTTCATGGACAGCAATTGAAATCATCTCATCTCAATGCTGCCACAATACAAACTGATTTTGTGATAGGGTGGGGGTGTGTGTAAATCAGTATCTGCATTTGGCACTGAGCCTTTCTATGAAGGCTTCCAAAAGCCTTCCTTTAAGCCCTCTTCCAAATAGGTACCACTATTGTGTCATTGTGTCACAGCTTCATATACTTGTGGTTTTAAAGCCACAGGCGTTGCAGATTTCTTACACTGTGGCCAAGGGAGGGGCAGGGATAAGGCTGCCTTGCTTATCTGCCTACTGGACATAGCTTCTGAACTGGCAGGATAAAAGAAAAACAAGAGGGATGGTCTAAACAGCTAAGGTTAACTATAGGTTCTTTCCATGTACAACCTACTTAAAACAGCCCCAAATAAAAAAAAACAGAGACAGACAGATCCTACCCTCCAGAGCAGATATTATGGGCTTCTTGACAATATGTGCCCTCATATAGTATAAGCCATCTAGAACAACCATAGTAAATTGATGCCATGGTTTCAGTGATTAATCAAATATAATTGTAATTATTCAGTGACATAGGTAAGTTTTAGGAATGATCTGTGATTCTTAATAAATATCATCTCTTATATTAACCGAATGTTATTAATACTAATATTTCAAAAGTTATGAAAATTTACAAAAAATACTGTTGTAACTCCTCTCACAAATACTGACATTAGGCACCTGTTCATCCAAGATCCTAACTTTGGACTTCATTTCAGCTGATTCCCTTGAAATAATAAATTTATTTGGAATACTGAGTCAAATAAATAGACAAAACAGGCTATTATCTATTTGATCCTTATCAGTGCAAAAAGTGACTTCATTAACCAGCTGAATCTTCCCTGTCCTACACTTTATACTGCACTGTACAGTTTTGTACACAGTAAGTACTGAAATAACAGTGAGGAAAAAAGGAAGAACACTCAGCCATGTGATGATGTTCCACATGCACAGAAGATGAAATGAAAGCAGGAGTTGGAGTTTGGAAAGGACATGAGTATTTTTCCTCAGTAAAACAGTCACTGGCTCCCTTGATGTCATGACTCCCACCTGCAAATTATTCAACTTGAAAGCAGTCCCTTAAATATTTTACCTTGAGTTGCTTTGATTCGTACACATCCCACTAGGTCCAATTTCCCACTGCATATCACCTGCACAAACTTCCCTTCTGTACTCCCATCTTATCTCCTTTTAACCAGCTATTAGTGAGAGTCCTTATGCTTCAAGGCACAAACCATTATCCAAATAAAACAAGTCACAAGGACTCTTCGTTTAAGAGCTGTTATTTCATAGCAAGATACTCGGTTCTTTCACCCTTCTCTAGAACACTTTGAATAGATCACTGTCAAGAGAGGATATCTGCTTATATAATTCACTGACCTGAAACAGTATTTTAATTTTATATTACAACTTTACAACAATATCCTCCTAAAAAAGATAGTCCTATTACATATAGACAAATGCTTGCTGTTCCCCTAAGAAAACCCCACCTCAGTAGCAGTATAAATGCAACTAATGTTAACTAACCTTGTAAAGAATGTGGTTTAGATGCATCCACAAATTTTTCCTGATCATCACACGGGTGAAAAACGAGCTGTTGCAAAACAGCAGGACATATCGTGGAGAAGTTTGAATATGATACGAGACTGTTGTTCGGTATCCCATGCAATGAAAAAATTTCCTCACCAGTCAAGCACTGGAACAAAACAAGGATTTTGCCAACTTAATACATTAATGCAAAACCAAAAAATAAGTCAATACAGTGAAAACCCCAAGAATTACAACATGAAAATACTGTGACACATTTTCAAGGAAGCATACACACTGTTTGTACCTTGTGCATAAAATCACTCTGCTTAATGTGAAGCAAAAGCAATTTGAAGTATCCTCAGGTAAATCACAAATCGGGTTTTAAGTAAACGTTTGCAAATCTTGTGCCCTATGAACCAGGACAGTTAAACCTTACAATATAGTTGGAGAAATAGCTCAAAGTAATTACAATCTCATGGAACAACAAAATAATTACATAGAAAAACAGACTAGATGCAGTTAGAGTCTCAGTGACAGAATTACGTCAGAAAATGACTGGTAATTCAGTGACTGCTTATTCATATAAGAATCCATAGCTACCTTACAAAATGCACTTCTTACCTCCCCAAACCAGATGTTTAAAAATAGTCTAAACATTAGTAGCATTTATCATTTTTTCATACATTTTGTAGCAATAATTGTTAACAGCAAACATTGTTTTGTAAAATCGTCCCATACTCCAATGAGATCTCCACTTCGCCTTCAGCTCAGGACAGAAACAGTATCTAAGAGGTCGAGGATAAAAGTACTTAGCAGCACTAACCCAGGCCAGGGGCAGGGCTGGTTGCTCTGTTTGTTACTTTCAGTCTAAAAGATGTCTCTAGTCTATGAAGTATCTTAAAATATACATTTAGAGAAAAAAATAGTATTTTTAATATAAAATGTTCTATACTGCTGAAGTCTTTCACACTTTTCATTTATTCACATTCATGATTTTCTACAACAATCAATAAGGAAAAAGTGTTCTTTTTTGAGTGTAAACAAAAGCGAATTGGCTTTCTGCTGTACAATAAATGCATACAGAGGTTGAGTCTCAAGCCAAAAAAAAAAATCAACTTTTTTACTTCTATCTGGATATCTAATATAGAGTGTAAGTCTCTCTGTAGCAACTGTCTGTGGGGTTGCAAAAGTAAAGCACTGGAAGCCTTAGCTAAATAAAAAACCAAATGGTCACTCCCTGCTCTTTTCAGTTTTGCCTTCAGATTCCACAACATTTCCAATAACTCAAGATTATTATTTGTAAAGCAAATTCCTTCTAGAGATAAGCCAAAGCAACTGCAAGTCATTTATTTCAACAGAGCTGCTTCCACTTCCATTAATGCATATTTTTCTAACACTGCCCAAAAGGTGAAAGGCATGCACACATAATTTGAATGTAACTATTTCTGATTCAGCTTGGAGGAAGAGAACATGCAGGCCAATTCAAGTTACCCCCAACTAAATTACATCCAGGATGCTTCTGTGCTTCCTCTTTAACAACCCAGTCTATAAGAGCACTCCAAGTACATGCTTGAACTTAAACATAAGTTTTGTTAAAGCCATGAGACCTTGAAGACTCAAATATATACAAGCAATGTACATATACTTTCCTCCTTCAGCTAATGTCAAAGTATCACTTATAAAATAAATATAATTTGATAACAGAAAATGTGGGGTTTTTTTGCTTTCAAGCACATTAGTCCACTTAATCTCAATGGAAGTAGTGCATCACTCAAGAGACAGCCTTTAGAAGCCCAATACATGAACCTCTGGAGCTTTCTAAACATAACGTAGATTATGTGCCTAACCATTTTACAGTTAACTCCACATTATGGATTAATGCAAGATAAATGGCTAATATGTCCAGTGAAACAAAGAAAGGATAGTTGTGGTTTAGAGGAATAGTTCCTGTATGGTGCTTCTTTTCTTATTGGCTCATAGAGACATTTCTGGAAGTCTGCAGTCAAAAAAACTTAGAAAATCGAGCTTGTAGGAGCTGAAAATTCATAACATAACTGTCTCTAAGAGAAATCACCTTTAACTATCTCATTCCCAGAAATACAGAATGGATTACTGGTATTTTAAAATACTAACATATTAGCATTACTATTAGTTCACAAAAATCCAAACCATGTTGTAGCTAGAAAAAGAGATTATGGAGAGAACATAAATCAGACACAGCATGAATAGTAAACTTGAGACTTGTAACTCTGGATAGGTACAAACAAGTGAACAAGAAATACCATGGACAAGAGCTCTTTTATATGACAATGACAAACAGCATTTTATTTAATTACTGTCATTATTTTGACCAGGGACTAACCCATAGGATAATGATTCCTATAAATGATTCATTATTATAAGTCACCTCATCCTCACAGTAAACTCCCACATATATCCAAGAGTTAAAAAGCAAGTTTGCATGAGTTCACTGACACAATTAAAGGATTAATTAAAAGATTAGATTTATTGGAAGCCTTGGACTGGAGCAACTCATGTGTGCACATTGCAAAACCATATTTGTCTTTGGCGAATAAATACATTAAGACAGCCACACTGCTGTAAAAACATAAGGAAATTTAGCCTCATGGAACAGGGGACTCAGAATGATATCCTGGCCTACCAGGACTACTATCATGTCTGCCGCTTGCTATTCAGTGAGCCTGTTAGGTAAGGGAACTGGCCATAATGTGACTGTCACCAAGAGTTTAATAAACAATTGCAAAAAAGAGATCAGGTCCCTGAACTGTTAAAAATAATAACTTAAATGTTTTCATTAAAACTGGGGAGGACTTAAATTAGTAGAATTTATACAAACTATTCAGGCTAACAAAAAAAGCTGTCAACTGGGTTATTCAAACAGATTTTTTTTTAAGATGGTAAATTAAATGAAATGACACGCAACTATCTAGAATCTCTTTACACCTGTATAGTTATAAAGCAAATGCCAGCTCACCACATCCTCTGAAAGAAAGGATGGGACAAATGCTGGGACAAAAGTAACGCAGAGAGGACCTCTATCTGGAAAATTAACAAAAAAATACTACAGTACCAACCATCTTGCAAATGCTTTAGTCCTTTTTCTGATCTTCAGCCATTTTCTTATCTTTGTTCTACCTTTGTTTTATCTGTAGCATTCCACATGTGAAGTACTAAAGATACCCAGCATCAACCTGGACTGCAGTTTCTTGATCTTGCCAGATTAAATACTAGCCTAGCCCACACCAGAGCTGAGCAGCAGGTCACACAGCAGCAACAGAAAAGAAAGAATGCAGTGAATACCTACATGACCAGCATTTTTACTTTATTTTTTTACTTAGCCTAAGCCTGGATCAGACAAAGTAGAGACATAGAACTATGTCTTCCCCAACTTACTTATAACAAATTAAAGCATCTAATGCTGATGTGGTGACAGTTTTTTTGTCACTCAGCACAGTTAAGAACTGGATAGTAGGAGATAACCATGCCTTCAAGAAGCAGCACTCCATGAGACTCAAACCAGATGAAGCTGATTTGCATTTGTGTGCTGCAGTGGTTTCATATAGACCCTGACATGTTCAAGGCAGCTGTTCATGCTGGGAGTCGAAAACTGTACATGAATGCTGAAATTTGCTGAAGATACTGTAGGAATAAGCCATTTACAGGGTAGAACAACTAAGCCTATTTATTTTCTCACTGGCCAGGAAACATCAGACTCCTCTCTGAGGTAAAAATTAATTATATCTGTTCATGAATATGAGTAAAGATTTTAACTTCATTTTGTCCAAATACTTTGTTTAAAAATTAAAATGCATTACATTAAGACACAGTATCCAGGCATAACATCTAGACTGGCATAAACACAGATTTAGAAAACTCAGAGAAGGAAATTGGAGCATGATTTTAGCACTTACTGATTACGTCAAAGCACAAAATAAAGGTGATGTTAAGAAGCTTTCTTTCCAATGTCCACTTACCTCCCATGTATTTTTTGACCAAAGCTTTTAAGCGTGTAATTTAATCCTTCAGCACACACATGTATTGCTATCACACGACAATTAATCCAGTGATAGAGGATCAAATATAGTTCCATGTTTTTAAACCTTCTTAATAAAATAAAGTGAGTAAACATGCCAGCATCTATTATACTGAAATTGCTAATTTATCACTATTAGTAGGACTAATAATAATTAGTAGGACTAATAATGTGTTGGAATCTCACAGTCAAATGTGAAAAAACAGCAGTGAACAGTATTTGAGACTGCTCAGTTACTACTTATTTCTCTGACAGTATGTCAGTTTATGTATTAGAAAAGGTGATAACTGAAAAAATGGAGAGCAAAATAAATATAAATCTATATAAAATATAAACATTTTCTTAGATAAATATAAAATAATATATGTTTATAAAAGAAAATACAAACGTAAAAGTGCTTGAAGAAAAAAAAAAAAGAGAGACCAAAACCATAAGTGACTGGAGACAATTCAAACATTCCAAACAGTGCCCCCCAAAAATTGTCTTCTTTTTTGTCTTTTACAGGAAAAAAATTAACGTCTGCATGGACACCATAGGACATATGTTACCATAAATGCCTACATGAGCACATGTTCAAATACCATCATCAACAAATTAAATAATATTTCTTCTCCCTTATCTTTTCATGTCAATTTGGTATCAAAGGAAAACAGAAATCAAACATTCATTTTCCTCTGACTTAGACATCCAGACTCCTTCAAACTGTAAGAAAACGGATCAGCTTTTGGTAGACCCTCTCATGTAAGATTAATACACTTAACAGAATTGTTATGAACAAACCATTAAAGCTAAACACCAGTTCTGGGATGAACTGAACACAGACGGTTCCTTCCTACTGGGTTTTGAAGTGCTGTATCACCTGCCCCTTACAGATCAGCTCTTCACTAGAAATTACTTCAGGCTTGGATAAGGGACTCTCTGATGGAGCAAGGGTGTGTTATCTTGATTGTAAGAAAGGCTTGGGAGTTATCCCACTAGCTCTGGACACTGAAGTTAAGAACTGAAAGTCTAAGATAAAACTTGCTTCCTCCTGTAGTCAGATATTTATGCAGCCTGAATGGATTCAGCCTGCCTGAGAAAGACCTGAATTACTCTCCAGAGGCATTTATTTT